TTGTTGTTATTTTATTGGCATATAATGAATTGTACATAGTAAAGGATTCCATCATGTAATTTCCATTCATGCATAAACTTCAATAAAACTTTATTAAAATTAATTATGTATATTACTACCTCCATCTAGACCTATTTATCATGGATGTATTTTTCCCTTCTTCAGTCACGTGGGCCACTCTTAATGAGCCCTTGGGCCTATGCAGCTCTATCAGGACACTTCCCTTCCTTTACCTCCAAGTTCACTACTGGACAGAGCCAGCATTTCTCACATACATGGATTGCATCCTTTGCATTGCTAGAAGGAACTTTTGGATTTCTTCTAATTTTTGCTCTATTGTGGTAGAATTAAAATGCATGTTTTTCCATACATTCCTTTAATTTCTACTTTATCACCTTAGAAGAGATGGTTGAGGCGAAACCTGCATGCCCAGGGTCACATTTCCAAATACAAAGGCAGCCACAACCTATGGAATTTGCAGTGGGTGGAGGTACACTGACCAAGATGCACTTGCCTATGAACTGATTTCTGCAGTCCACAACCTCACTGAACATTATCCATAAGTGAACAGAAATGAAAATATCTTAAATTTATTAAATTTTGGAATAGAATGTAATAATAAATGTAACAGAATAATTATTGGGATTCAGATTAGAACTTTTATATTATTAATGGATTATTATAAAAACCAAGTGATTTTAACATAATAGTTAAAAATAATGACTATATTAGTCAATGATGTAATGTCATCACACAATATGTATTATAAATACAGATGTATGATAGCTTAAAATTTATTCTTTTTGAAAGATTAAAGTGTATGATTATTAAATCTACTATATGAGTTTCAATCTTCTCAAAACAATGGTGATCAGTTTCGAATCTGAGAGAAAATGACTGCCATGGTCTCTTGATCCCTGTCTATACAATTTGCCCAAATGTTAATGAAATATTAGCTATCAAGGAGGCTAAAATGCTAAATCTCATGGTTCAATGCTAGTCTAGACAGAAAAGTCTGTGACACACTACCTCTAAAGAACCAGCAAAATTACTCTTTGGAAGCAAAACCGTCAAACTCTTGGGAGATAATTTGGGAGAATATTCTTGTATTCCAAAGAAAAGACAGGACAGTCATCAACCACATCAACTATAAAGTCATGATGACTATAGTTAGAGAAGGAACTTTTGCTAAGGTAAAATACACCCAAGATCAAATAAAATCATCGATAGAAATTTTGAGAAGCTACTACAACAAATATATTTGTATGTGCCAAACACTCTCGAGAATGTACATTAATGACAAGATGCAAACTTGCTCCTCCAGAAATACATATCCCTATGTCTCCAACACTCTTTGCTGTATACATTGACAAACTCTTCTCCTAAGGAATGCTATTTCCCCACTCATTTAATGTTGCTTGGTTTGTAAACTGCATTGTCCATTAGAGCTTGGCAAAAGAATTATGTGCTAATGCTGATCTAAGGCATGAAACAGTTTGGCAATTCTCTTCTTACCTACTTTGGATAGTATTATATGAGAAGAAATCTTTGGTCTAGTTTTCTAGTGAATGACAAACCACATGGAGAATTGCTGAGACCTACCATGCAATAACCAATCAGCATCTTGATACATTAGTCCAATAAATATTAGAGAATTTATTGTAAATACAAGAGAGGTTCCAACATACAAAGGACTTCATTTGGCTAAGGCCAAACAAATTGTCCAACAATGCATTCTCCACCTAAATGGATGTACTCTGTATTCAACCTGTTTGCCTCAGAGGTGGATCATATTGCAACTTGTATAGGTAGAAAAATTTCTCATATTAGAATAGTTGTAGAGCACCTGGCTGATTAAATTCTCTGTACTCTTTCCAGCCCTAAGTCTCTCAAACTGTGCAGTCTCTCCCATTATATACACAGAAATAGGATGTCCAAGAACACCGTAAATCACCCATGTACAGGAAATTCTAGGGAAAACAATTTGGTCCCAAAAATGGCGCTAAGAAGTTCCAAGATAACACCCAAATGAAGAATACTATGACCACAGCACAGCACCCCATCACCTGCACATTCTATGCAAGAGACCTAATGCCCACAGTACCCCTTTATCACCTGTATGTTCTCTTTTATCTCTTTTTCTATGAAACTCTGATCCTGGGTCACAACCCCACGTTGCAGCTGGTAGCGAAGTGCAATCTGAGCTGTACTGCGATTGTGCTTTTTTGCCACAGCCCCAAGAACTGGGTCCTTCAGAAGAAATGGGGCATTGGGGTCTACCCTGGAAGGAAAGACAGAAATGCTGAACTGCAGACGGAGTATTCTATTTGTTTGCAGAGCTCCAATATGCTTGAGGATGCCTGCTCTAGACCAAGTCATCAAATGCAATCTCTTGATCCATCAGCATCGGTCATATGAGGGACCATGTAAGAAATGCAATTCTCCCCGGTTCCTAAACCAGTTCAAAATCAATGCCAGAAAACTAAGCACAAATCAAAATATTTGATTCAGAATAGTGTTTTGGTAAATATTTTATTGGATTACCATTGTTTCGCTTGTTGAGTTCCCAGAGGACTATGGGCAACCAGGACAATGTCCTTGGACTTGCAGAAATCCAATAGTTTGCTCTGGTTGAGATAAGGATGACATTGCACCTGTAGATGGATATGACAGGAATTATATGCAAATTTTATGCACTGATCAAGAGGAAAAATTAAGAGTAAGCAAACCTGAATAAAAATGTGTTATATTCAATTTGAATTGAAATGATCAAAATAATGTAATGTTTACTTTCTAACAAATAAATTTTGCATATCAGTTACCTGGATATGTCTAAAAAAAGTAATCTTCCTAAAGTAGACCACAACATATGCTAAATACCATTTACAGGACAAAGAGGCATGACAAAATCTTTTTGTGGGGCACAAAAGACCTATCTGAAATGTAGACCTGGTATTTGAACAGGGAAAACCTATAGGACAAAAGAACCATTTTGCCAGGCATTCTACTAGTGACACTGGTCAAAGTTTTGTTTTTTGTTTTTCAGAGTGTTTTTCATGAAATTGAGTGCCAGTGGCTAATGCTTATAACCCTATCACTACTGAGGAGGCTGAGTCATGAGAATTGAGGTTCTGAGTCAGCCCAAACAGATCATTCTGCAAGACTCTTATCTCTAATTAACCAGCAAAAATCTGGAGGAGGAGCCATGGCTTAGTTGGCAGAGCATCAACCTTAGCCACAAAACTAAGAGAGAGTGTGAGTCCCTGAGAGTAAGCCATAGTTCTGTCCCATAAAATAGTATATGCACTCAAAGGAATAAAAATGCATTAGCTCAATGGAATAGATCTAAATAAAGAAAGTAAGATGAATCAAAAGTATTCTGCCTTTTGATAAAGACTATTCCTTTAACTCCTTTCTTAGAACACTCTAAACTGAAAGTCAAGATTTGCTCTGTCTTATGGAAATTATTAGAGTTTATTCTGATATGTTGAGTAAATTTTGTTTTTAGTGAAATATCTGCTAAGGAAAATAAACACAGAAGTAAAAACAAAGAAATTTTTCATAAATCCTGTGGCCTATATTTCTTACAGAAATTATGAATGAATATTAAACTACTAGGTGAAATTGTCAAAGGACCTCCTTTATTGACAATTGTCAACATCTAGGCAACCAGTAACTGTCAGTCAGGAAACCATGTCTTTATGAAGGATACATCTAGGTGGGCCTACTTAATGAACAGATCAAATATAGGAAAATTTGAGTACAGACTGGATTTAAATGATGCAAATGAATTGTCGTTCATTTTTAGAATAGAGTCACAGAAATTTAACTGTGTAAGAAAGTATTTTCATTCCAAGAAGAAATCTGCTGAAGTCTCTAAAGGAGAATGTCCAGGTCTACAGTGTTATTGAAGAGAACCAGCAAAATTGCTACAGATGTGGATGACGATATACCTGCATTAATAAGGACAGTGTGGCCATGTGTTGAATAACTGGCAAGAAATTTGGAAAATACGAATACTCCAAGTGCTTGATAAATTTCATTACAAAAATCTTGATAAAACTTGTAATGAAACTGCCTTCACATTCATGTTGGGAAGTCTTAGGATTGTGTCACTGTCCACAAATTTAAATAGTATGACCAGTTTTGTGTTCAAAACACTTTTACGTCACAGGTGTAAGGACTTTAAGCTGTTGAAGACAGTAATATAGAGGCTCAAACCAGGCACAGACTAGATGTGATTTTTAAAAAAAAAGCAGAAAAGCGGAGTTGACTTAGAGGTTTTCTGGCACTGAGTCAGCTCTGTGTTTTACTCTAAGTTTTCATGTATGGATTTCACTAAGATCCCCACCAACAGATATTTGATCTGTGTGATCATTTTGACAGCCCCCACTTTACTCTCCATGCACCTATGTAGTTAGCCAAGAATCCTGAAGCCAGACAAAACAGCACAAACTAACAAAGCATCCACTCCACAGGCCCTTCACATGGATCTCCACACTTCCTTCCTTCTCCCACTGCTCCTTTCCAAGTTGACGATTTTATGGGATTTCCTTGTTTTTTATACACAACACCATCGTCAATCCAATCTCCCCATCATTCATAGGCCAACAATAAGTACTTTGCCTCTGAAGTCTAATGACTGTAGCCCACCTTGATGACTTTTACATCCTCCAGATTCTTCCATTCACTGGACACTATGAATCTCACAATAGACACAAACACAGTTGGCCAACCCCCCTATCCTTGTTCTTAGAATCTTCCATTCCACAAAAGGAAGTTAAACAGGGAAGAAGGTAAAAGTAATAGCTGGCAGAAACACAGCAACAAGTCAGTGAATAAGGGACAGAGAAGAGGAAGCATGAACTCACCTGGTTGCAGACAGGTTTGTACTTGAGCCCTGTTTTGTTCAGGATCCTCTCCAGTTGCCTGCGATTAAAGTTGGACACACCAATGGACTTGGTCAATCCCACATCCTTCCACTTCTCCATGGCCTAAAAAGGAAGGAGTTCTGCGGATCCATCTGTACCATTGGTTGAATCAATATAAATGCAAAATGGAGCTGATGAAGGAAACACTATCAATAAACAATGAACTGACTACATATGATTGTTGGTAGAAGAAAAATGGTCAAGACATTTGGAGAATATATTCACATACAAAGAATTCACATACAAAGAAATAATTGGGTGTGCTCCTTGGAGAAATAGAGACATCACTGCATAAGGAAGCAAGAGATCACTCTTCTTGTCATCAATTCTGTTCAGACATTCATGTCTTTTACTTTCCACTAATGCTTTCTCCCCTATCACTCCTGCAAAACACCATTGTAAATGTCATGATTTTCTAGATTTCAAGGGTACAGATTCCATTCTTGGAGTTGGAGACATGACCTGACTCTCTAAGCATCCTCTCAAGTCTATTCTTCAAGTACTCAGCTCCCATGTGTCACAGAGATCCACTGTGTCAAATATCAATTTTCCATGCTCATCTTTTGGAAAGACATCTTCTCCAGGCTGCAATAGAAGCAGACATTGCATCAACCTCAACAAGCACTGTCATCCTACCCAGAGCCAAAGTCCTTTGTACACTTCAGGAATGAAACAGTAAATGAGCATTAATGAAGGACTCCTCCACTTACTTATGCTTACAAAGGTGCTTGAATGAGAGTAATAAGGAATGTCTTAAGGAGTCTAGGTAGTTGTAATCCCCTATCAAATATAACTATTATTAAATATTGGTTTCCCATCCCAAAGAGATGTCCCTAGGACTTGTGTTACTTCTCTGCTTCACTTTCTCCAGAGAAATACTTCTCTCTCACTGGGAAAATCAACAATTACATGGCCTTGATCTTCTACAATTATGGATTTCAATCTTGATTTAAGGTAATCAGTATTGTTTAGAGATTTGAATACATGTGAGTCAAAGGCAATAAGTAAAGCCAGAAATGAGAGAATGATTCTAATACTGAAAAATGCAATCAAGCTATCAAAGGGTAAGGGTCAGGACACATGAAATATCCAAATATTATTTGCTATTGCGGGCAACGCTGGGACAAAACACAAGCAAGCCTCCAGTAATAAAAATGTAAGGGAAGGAAAAACAGAAATAGCTGAGGGCTCGGAAGGGAGCTTAGTGGTAGAGTGCTTGTCTTGCTTGCAAGAGGCCCTGGGTTCCAATCCTCAGTGCCACATAAGCAGAAAAATCCAGAAGGGGCACGGTGGCTCAAGGGGTAGAGCACTAACCTTGAGATGAAGAGCTGAGGGACAGCACCCAGGCCCAGAATTCAGACCTCATGACGGACAAAAAAGAAAAAAAAATAGCTAAATACTAAATCTAAATGTAGCCATTCCTTCACCTGTCTATTTACGTAATTCAATAAACTCATATGAAATATCCTGGGTCATTCTATCAATTTTTTAACTAAAGCTTACATAAATTGATGATCAAAGTTTCTTCTCACTCATTTATGGAAATAATTATCGTGCCATATGCAGTTACATGCTTCAGTTAGATGATGCAAATAGCCTACCTTCAATGAAGTTGGAAAATGAATAAGGTAGAGATCCACATAATCCAACTGTAGTTTCTTCAGTGATCTTTCCAGACAAGGCCGGACTAGCTCTGGTCGATTGAATGTGCACCAGAGCTGCAAATGTTAAAAAATACAAATTGTGCTGGATTGATGGTTTACCTCAATTGAGAATCTGATTCACCAAATTCAGAGAAGTTTTATACTAGGAAGATATCGGTGTCCATAGGGGAAAATTAATGCCTTTATTCTTAGGTTTCCATGACCTGTCAGGGCCATGTCACTGTTAAAATAATTTGCTGGACAATGGAAGGAAATTACTTGAGATAGCATTTTGTCAATTAATAAAATTATCCAAACTCTGAATCTTATTCCAAAGATATTGCTGAATTACTATTTCTCTAAACATGACATCTCTTCAATTCAGTGGAGACATATGAACATACCTTTATTTCCATCAATGAAAGGAAAGATATTTGAATATTTTAAAATGTACTGGGCAAAAAAACCCACTTTAGCAATGTTTTGTTTAATACCCAGCAAATTCTCATCTGATCTTTTCCAAGAATAAAGGTAAGATTTAATATTCCAAATAGCAAAAATAATGTTTTAGAAAGTTACTCTGGACATGAAGAACATTGTAATTTGACCATAGATCTGAGTGGTTCTATATCACCCGTTAAAACAATGATTCAAGTTGAGACTTTGAATGTTAAAGTGTCTGCGAACCTATCAATTCATTGAGAGTAAGGTAGTAATTATTTGACTCTGTTTTTAATACTAAGCCTTACATGTGAATAACAATAGTAGCACCAAGAATAATTCTTCCAAGTATTGCTCCAATCATGTAATTCTTCCCCAAATCACATTTCAATAAATGTGCATCTTCCTATTGTAGGCAGCATACCTTTGAGGTGAGGAATATGTCTTCTTTCTTCACAGTGCCCTCTTCAATCTTGCTTCGAATAACCTGCCCTAGTTCCTCTTCTACTTCGTACACATACGCAGTGTCAATGTGCCGGAAGCCAGCATCTATAGCTATTTTGGTGGCCTCAATTACATTAATTCTAGGAATCTAGATCAAGAAGGAAAAGTAAGGCAGAAGCTGGAGATAAATGTTGTGAGGTAGCCCATTGGAAACAAAGTAGATAGTTAACACGATTAGAAAGCACTTTGTATTCCAGTGTCATCTTCAGATCACTTAATCATGTAACCGGGTAACACTTCTGTGAACTTAAATCCCATCTTTGCTGTAAGACAAAGGGTTATCCAAACAGCAATTGTGATGGTCACAGAAATAATCACCTTTCCATGAACTCATTTTTATCTGTGTTGGACTTAATTCTGCACTTGGAGGGATCAAGCCAAACCTGTTTTTCTGTGGTAGTCTCTACTTAATAACAGAATTGGGCTTTTTCTCTGAACTTCAAACACAGCCAATGCTAATTAATCAGTGACATTGGAAGATTCCAGAAGCTCTTGTTCCAATGAATTCCTAGAATGATATAGAAAGATTTACAGGACTCAGGATGGAGACAGCACCACCCTGTGGTTTACATAATAATATTTCAACATAGAAGGAACACAGGAAAAATGTGCATAGAAGAAAATACAGAAGATATATGATCCATGCTTAGTTGAGTTCTCATTGGAAAAACATAGAACATAATCGGGAGCACTAAACTGTGACAATGCATGGTCCATGTCTACAGGGAAAGTTCAAGTCATTTCAAAAGATACTTTTTGCCAGTGCTATTTACCTAGTGGCCCTGTCTCTCTTAGAGCACCCCAAAATTCCAATTCTTAACTCCACCTCTGGTTATACAAGCAATAAAAAAGCATACCACCCTTACAGGTCACAAAACAGTAAAATACCAAATTTCCCAGGTGCTATCCAAGGCCAGTGTTCTTGAGATATAGTATAAAAGTTTTGTTAACATTCTTATGTACAATCGTTTTCTCTGTAAAATTGAACAAAGTTCTGGGAGGAAAACAATATATGCTAAAGGTCATAGATTTATAATTAAATAATTAACTCCATCATGTAAGAGATAATTGGTGTAGCCATCAACCCTCAAAACTAAAGCTCTTTGATTTAGAGAGGGGATGGTTGGATTGAGTGCCTCCTCTACCAAAATTGGGTCACAATTTTAAAGTTGAATCATTCAGTAAATGATTTCTTAAAACGCAAACCCAAACACAGATTTTTTAACATTTATTAAAAAAATTTCAGAAACTTTTCAAGCTCAAAACTTTTCTTCTTCCTACACTCCAGATCTAATACTTGTATCTTACGTGTAACAGCACCCGGAGATTCACCAGAGATGAGTATGTGGTGGTGTCCTGCAGTCTTCCCTACCTTTATGTCTTAAAAATTAACAAAGTCCAGGCACAAGAATCAAAGTGGATTGATCTTAGGAAACAAGTTAACTTTTATCACTTTGATTTCTCTGGATCTGGACAAGAAAGCAAGATTTCTATTGTAGGAAATAAGCAAAAACAAGACAAAACAAAACAAAAAAACAATTCTAATGCTATCTGTATCTTTCCAGGCATCAAAGCTGATGCACAGCTTTAGCCTGCTAATTTTTGTTCTTTTTTCCCCACCGAGCTATGAAATCAATGACCAATTAGTACAAAGCACAATGCTCAGAATAAACAGGTTATGACATGATCACACTCTCACAATGTTCTCTCCTGTACATGACAAGCACTAGCTTGGGAAAACTGAGCACTGGTTGACCACCCCAGAGTCATACTAGAAATATGTGACTTTGCAATCCACATTGGCCTCAGGTCTTTCTAAATCTATTTTTCTTTTCAACCTTCAAACCGATCAGCATTCTTATTACCTCTTGGGGTACATAGGTACCGAAGCCCAGTTGTGGGATCGCATGGCCATCATTTAGTCCAACATGCTGATACTTGGAATTCATTGCTGTTGTTCCTCTGGCTGGACAGAGACTGTTCCTTTTGACCTCATGGGTACAAATTTAACAGGAAATCATGACTCCTCATGTCTGTCCAATATTTAATCAAGTGTGAGGAAGTAGAATTAAAGTTGTAGTCTATATTACAAAGAGAACTAAAAACCAGTTCACTCTTTTTTTATAATAAACTATTACACAGTGACATAGAAGCTATTGGTTTTAAGTATTTTTTTCTCCTTAGAATCTTCCATGTATTATGGTGAGTTACTATAATAGATTAATGGGATAATTTCTGAAAATTTGTTGAACTGGGAGCCTTTAGATTCATACTTTACTTCTTATTTAAAATAGGTCCAAGACACTCAACCAGAGACTCAGACATGTTGTTTCAGGTCTAAGTAGACTGGGAGACAGGGCTAGTGATGAGCTTAAAGAGCCAGACAGAAAATATTCAAATCACCAGAAAGCATTGGCAGGCAGTGTCAATATTCAAATATGATCCAGGTAAAGTCAGGAAATATTATAATTTAAGTTTATATTTCATGGGAGGAGATTGGCCAAAACAATACACAACAAAACAGAACATTAATGGATATCATGTGAAGTGGCCTAACAGGATTCCTGGGAGGGTCACCTGCAGCATTATAGTCTTCCTCACTTAAAATCCTCAGCCTCAGAGAGGTAAGGATTTTTCCCCAAGATCATCTTTGTAAGGTGTGATTGATTGTGACTAATATACCTAAACTCTCTAAGACTTACTCTCTTTTTAATCTGTGGAATTAAGATAATAAATGTACTACTTGATAGGCCCCAGGGAAGACTAAATGGGGTAATCTGGAGAAAGGATGATGTGTTCTCAATGAAAGACATCATTACTCCTATATTTTTTCATCATTATAAAGTCACCGAGGGCAAAAATTACATACTTATCATAGATTTATCATTATCATCACATTTCTTATAATTAAAGTTGATTATAAAGACATTGAAGACAAGAAATGTGGGTAGGTAGTTCATGCCATAAGTGTTTAATGAGGTAAATTCTGAGTTTTGATGAAAACAAACTTGAAATGATCACATCTATATTTTTCATAAAAGTAATTCATCTCTTAGCTTGTGTTCATAGCTCTGCATGCTTGCTACTGCATGTATACATATTTTAAAATATTTTTATACCTTTTTTTGTCTTTGTCAGTGATGAGACTTGAGTTTGGCCTGGGCACTGTTCCTCAGCACTTCAGCTCCAGGCTAGTGCTCTACTACTTGAGCCACAGTGCCACTTCTATTATTTGAGTTGTTAATTGGACATAAGCATCTCACAGGGACTTTTCTGCCTGGCTGGCTTTGAACCACGATCCTCAGATCTCAGCCTCCTGAGTAGCTAGGGTTACAGGCGTAAGTCAAAGGTGCCCAGAAGATATCTGATTTTTATCACAAGGTAACATGTGGTGATTCGAGGTTTAAGCTAGGAATTTATTACAAAATAAAATATAATAAAACAAACTTCCCCCCCAAAACCTCTGTTTCGAAGTGTTTCCTCAGTGCCACTAACCTCACTTGATACCAATTAGTTTTATTCGTTATTCTCACACATTAATAAACTCAGCTTTTTCCACCTGTAAAATCTGAATTTGGACTTTGACATTTCTAACTTCACTTGGTTATTATTCTGAACTTGGACACTCTCTACTTTCAGCAGAGAGCTTACTGTTTTCTGAATTTGGATTTAGTCCCATCATTAAACTTTACCTCTAGTGTTCTACCTAACTTGGATATGATGTACCCGAGTCTTCATTTGAACACTTGGCCATGAGTAAGGAGTTTTTCTCCACTCACATGACAACTCAAATCCAATCAATTATCCAAACAGTCTTCAATAATAATCTCTTTTGCCTCTTCAGAGAATTGGTGTTTAAGAAAAACATGAAACTCAATTAAAATCACTGAGTAAGTGACAACATCAAATAACTGTAGATATAAAATATTTCAGCAGATACCCAAGATTAATACAAGAATATCACAAGCGTGAAGAAGCTAATCAAAGAGTAACAGAGGAATTTTGTGAGTGAGCTGAGAAATGGCAAAGATTAATAGAGGCATTCTTGGAATCCACAAACAGACAGCTGAAGGAATCCAGGGGGAGGCCACAAATGGAATGCTGAATGAAGACCAACAGAAGGAAAGGAAGGCCAATGAAATTATAACCAATCAACTATGGAATCTGAGAATGAATACTGAAAACCAAATTAAGGAAGTAAAGCAGTCCATACAAGATCTAAAACAAAGCTCCAACAAAGAATTTGAGGCCATCAAGTCTGACCAATTAAAAAGTAAGGAAAAAAAAACAACATAGAAAGTCTTGATAGGTTAGACCATGCAGAAGATTGAATCTCTGGGATTGAAGACAGCCTAGATATTATCGAGAAAGAACAGACAACTATTCTAGACAAATCCAAGAATTTAGACAAATCCAAGAAATATGATAGATCTATTCAACATGTAGAAGACACCATCAGACAGCCTAATTTGAGACTAATGTGTGTAGAGGAGCACCTAGAGACAGAAGTCAATGGTCTAGGAATTTTATTTAATAGGATCCTAGCAGAGAACTTCCCAAACATGCAAAAAGATAGGCCTATGCAGATATAAGAATCCTTTAGAACCCCAAATTGACCAGACCACGACAGGACTTCCCACCGTCACATTGCAATCTGTACTTGATCAATTCAGACCAAGGAAATGATCCTTAAAGCTGTCAAGGAGAAAAGATTAATCACCTATAAAGAAAAACCAGGGCTGGGAAGGTGGCTCAGTGGTAGAGTGCTTGCCTTGCAAGCATGAGGCCCTGGGTTCAATTCCTCAGCACCATGTAAGCAAAAAGAAAAAAGCCAGAAGTGGTGCTGAGGTTCAAGTGGTAGAGTGATAGCCTTGAGCTGAAGAGCTGAGGTACAACGCCCAGGCCCAGAGTTCAGGCCCCATGACCAGACCCAAAAAAGAAAAAAGAAAAAATTAAAAAAAGAGAAACCAATCAGAATAACTTCAGATTTCTCAGTAGAGACAAAGCAATAAAAGTCTAGAATGGTGTATGCCATGCCCTAAAGACAAACAACTATCAACCAAAAATACTGTACACAGCTAAACTGTCCTTCATAATAGAAGGTCAAATAAAAACCTTCTACAGAAAAGAATGATCTCCACAAAACCAGCCCTACAAAAGATACTTAAAGATGTCCTACACATAGAAAACCAACAAGAGCACAATAAAGGCCAAAAAAACAAACAAACAGCTCCCAGAGAGTCCAAGAATCATAAGAAGAACCAGGTTGACACAGCTCCATGAAGGTGGATAACATGGCAAGAACTACCAAACACCTCTCAGTCTTAACTCTCAATATTAATGGACTTAACTTTCCAATTAACAACATAGACTGTCTAGTTGGATCAAAAAGCAAGATCCTTCTATCTGCTGTCTTCAAGAGGCACACCTTGCCTACAAAAACAAACACATTTTGAAAGTGAAAGGTGGGAATAAAATCGACTGACAAACACCTCTATAAACAGGTGGGAGTTGCAATCCTAATATCAGATAAAATACACTTAAAATATAATTCGCAAGAAGTAAAGAAGATCATTGCATACTAATCAAGGGACCTCTCCCTCAGGAGGATATTACAATTCTAAATATCTATTCACCAAATACAGAACACCTAAATTTATCCAAGACACACTGCTTTTCCTAAAATCACACATAGATCCAAAGACATTAGTTATTAAGGACTTTAACACATCACTATCCCTGCTGCATAGATCAACCCAGCAAAAACTCAACAGAGAACCCTCAGACCTAAACAACTGCATAGATAAACTGGACCTCACAGACATCTACCAAATACTTGTTCTTTCAGCAGCACATGGAACATTCTCAAAAATTAACCGCATTTTAGGTCACAAAGCAAATCTGTCCAAATTTATAAACATTGAAATTATGCCCTGCATACTCTCAGACCACAAGGGAATAAAATTAGAATTCAACACCAAAAGCCACCAAAGAAAATCCTGTAACACATGGAGGCTGAACAACACACTGTTCATCCACCAGTGGGTCATAGAAGAGACTAGAAAGGAAATTCAAATGTTCATGGTATTCAACAAAAATGGACACACGAATTACCAGCTCCTCTGGGACACAGCAAAGGCAGTACTCAGAGGCAAGTTTATAGCTCTGAATTCCTACATCAACAAATTGGAGATATCTGAAACCAACTATTCAATGAGATATCTGAACCTCCTTGAAAAAGAGCAACAAGCTAAACCCCAATCCAGCAGACAGAAAGAAATAATTAAAATTAAATCAGAATTAAATGAATTTAATGCTTGATAAGAAATGTACTCATTATCTTGCCCATGTAATTGTAACCCCTCTGTACAGTATTTTCACAATATAAACAAGAAGAAAAAACTAAATTTAAAATAAATAAAATTAAAAAATCCATAGAAAGAATCAACAAAACAAAGAGTTGGTTTTTAAAAAATTAACAAAATTGATAGACCCTTAGCTAATCTTATTAGAAAAGGAAGAGAGCAGACCCAATAAACTAACTCAGAGATGAGACTGGTAAAATCACCACAGAAAAAAAAAAGATTGAGAACATTATAAGGGAATACATCTCAAACCTTTATGCTAATAAGCTTGAGAATCTAGAACAAAGGGACAAATTTCTAGCAAATATTGACATGTCAAAACTAAATCAAGATTAGTTAAGCCAACTTAACAGACCTATATCAAACATCAAAATAGAACCAGTAATAAGAGACCTCCCACCCAAGAAAAGCCCAGGACCAGATCAATTTACAGCTAAATTCTACAAGGTCTTCAAAGCAGAACACACACCCATACTCCTCCAACTCTTCAATGAAATTGAAAGTTAAAGTTCACTACCAAACTCCTTCTATGAAGCCATCGTAACCCTCATCCCAAAAACCAGGCAGGGACTCATCAAAGAAAGAGAACTATAGACCCATTTCTTTGATGAACATCGATG